TATAAACCTTATTAAAACAGACACTTATTTTGTTCAGCGAATCCAAAAATGCAATAATATGCAGGACATTCCATTAAAAAAAATGCAACTTTGATACCTTTAGAGCGTTTGGGACACCCTGCACAGTACAAAAATAGTTTTAAAATGTGCACTCAGTAGGCGTCGGACAATTCATAAAATAATACTTTTCAAAAATCAAACGGTTTAGCCACAAACTTCCGTGCCGTATAGCGTGAATAACCCTGTATAAGAGCAGGAAATTCTGATCCAGGTTTTAACCACATACTCAGCTTCCGGCGACAGTTTCATCTCAATCCAGAAGATGCCCTCAAGATTCCTCCTTTTCTCTCAATCCATTTTGAAGACACAGATTATCACATTTATCTCTCCGCCGAAAAATTGGTGTGTTTTGCATGCAAGGAAGAAGGTCATCTTGCCAAATTCTGCAAGCATCCTGACGTCATCTCACAGAGACATCAAGAGATTTCTAATGAAAATTTTTCGGCACAAAATCTATTGTCAACTGATAGTACCGCCCCCAGCACTGGGGTAATCGACAAAGCAATCCCGATGGAGACCATACCTATTTTGTCAAATCAGGAGTCAATGCCTCCTCCTGCTGGGCCTTTTAAACGCCCGCAAGTAAATCTCCACTACAAGTTCAGCACCTCAAGATCTTGAGGAAAAAACGCCTCTGAACGACAAAATACGAATCACACCAAAAACTAGCAAAAAACAGAAAACGGAATTGCCGAACGAAATTTCCTTGGAAGAACTGGCTACACAACTAGCCCCAGCTGAAACGTTTATAAAGCATCATCCAAATCAGTTTTCTCTCGACCTATCACAAATAAGAAATTTTCTTCATGAGACATATAACAAGTCAAATATCTATGCGATCGCAGCTAAATACGTCGATGATACGCAACTTCTCATAAGCATGCTCTCACTCATTCACGAACAGCATATTCAAACCAAACTAAAGCATCGCATATCTAGAATAAAGAATAAACTTAATAATCAAGTTTGCGGAGATACAAGTGATTCCTCACTGTCTACCGACGGATAAGAATCATAAATCAGCAATCTTTGAAAGATGTAATTTCAGCAAAAAATCGGCTTTGTATTGCTGGTTCAGTTCGGAGATGCTCAAAATCACACAGTGCAGACGCATCTTGCAGTTTTGCTTTGCAAGCGAACACCTGTTTCCACTTGAACACTATCTGACCTGGACTGATAAACACTAGATATTCTGTTTCTTTCTTCATTTTTCATGGGCTACAAAAACAAATGAAAAATCGGCAACATATAACGGAAACTGATTCTTTCGAAACTTGGTACACTTGATGGTACTGAACAATAGTCAATGACAATTGCTAGATTAAAGTATTTATTCTGAGCCGTAAACATTTGCTACTTACACGGATCGGATTTCGCGCTTTCCTCCGCTTCTTTGACCAGTTGTTGCTGCTTCTGTTGGTGATAGAACCGCTGTAAAATGATGGGACTGGTATTTCCGCTAATATATTGTGGTTCTTCGATGGGCAAATTGGTTCGCAAAGGGAGAGGCGACCCTAAAGGTGATCTCCATCTTGTTTCGCTCAAACTCCGAGTCTCCTACAGATATTAATCACTATTAATATCTACTATTACTTACAGTATTATGACTGCATCATTTCGAAAAGCGAACAGTTTCTTATAACACAGACGAAAGTTATTTAATTAACTACATAATAACATGTCTTACGGGTAACGAAGAAGGTCCCAAAGCTGCAGAGCTGCCGTCTCCAAACTTTCTTTGCGGCATCGGCGAGCACAAGCCAATTTGATAACCTCTGCCTCCACTGTGTTCGTCTCTTTGCTGCAAAGACGCTACGTGATTCTGATACGCCTGAAGCGAAGAAAACGTCCTATTTGCATGACCCGGCCTTGCTTGAACAACGGATTGGAACGCGTCCAAACGAGAGTGACGAACTGACTGGGACTCTTCGGCACTACTCAAACATGCAGGTTGTTGACTAAAGACAGATAATGTAGATCCAGTCCTCACGTCGGGTGGATTGAGAAATTTATCGGGTTTTGGTGATCGACCTCCGTTCACTGCAGATCTTGATGGTTGAGTTGATGAGAGCTTTTGTTGCATTGAAAAGAACTGGCGTACTGGATGTCTGTCAGACAAATAAGTAAGTACACATTTACCATCACACTTTATGATCATCATGACTTTTACGTATTAAACATGTTTATGTCTCTATTGCTAACATTACTAAAATGTGTACTTTGCGTTGTAGACAACGATATGTGATTTAGTTTTTATTTATTAATATATTAATGTGGTTAGAGGAGGAAACAACTTCAAACACAAGCAGACTAGTTCGTGGTGCTTAGGGTGAAATGTAACAATTATATTTGGGCCTGATTTTATTCCTTACATTGAAAACAACATCAATAGCAGGTGAATATTTCAAATATATTTTACTGGACTTAAGAGATGCAAATTCTGATTGAGTGGAAAAACTTCTTTTAAATACATTTTTTTAATGCTGTAGCTAAAAACAGAAATGTATAGATAATGAATGCCGGATAAACGATTAGACAATAAGCACAAATGCAATCAGCTAATCCACCAAAAAAAAAATTGAACAAGTCTGCCCAAAAGAAACACCCATGCTGATACTGGCAATTTCCATTAAAACATTTGAATGAATTTCAATGTTGTACCGATTTTTTGGTGACAACTGCCAAGGCAGCAAGCAAACCATCAACATTGAATTTCCTTCGCAAAACTAAACCACAAAAATGCATACAAACCTACTGGTGAGAAGAAGGTAGGGATGAGCACAACAAAATGCAATCTAATGCACTGCGGGTACAGCATTTTCTCCGATTGACGGACCGTAATCGTCATCACTCCTAAATAATCAAAACGCTACTTGTACAGTTAATGAACACAGAGATAAGTACAGCACATTCGAGTTTTACAACAGTTCAAGCTCTCCAGAATTAGAAACAAACACTGCTGTACTTCACCCGGTTCGTTGACTGTGCGAAAACTAAATTCAACGCAAGAAGGTACTAAATTAGACAAGTTGCAAGTGATAATAAAACTGATTAGAACGGGTAAGTAAGGTAAACACAAAATTGACACTAACCATGCAACGTACCTCGAGGTCGCCCTATCGCCAACTCGCTGCAGAGCTCTTACGTACCAGTCTCCCACATTTACCTCTGCCAATTGATATCGCTTAATGAAAGCGTGGTTCTTCAGTTTGGTGTACTTCGGTCTTTGCATTTTATCTTTGGTCAAACTAAAAACAAACATTTACATTGATCACACAATTTCTTGCAATTTTTTGGTCAAACCGCAGAACAGATAAAGGCCGAGACTTCAA